ATTTTATCTACACCTTACACTTGGTCCCGTGGCGCCTATCAGTGTTTGTGCAAGCGTGGCTATTACTCGGTACGTCATCCGGATGGTTTTAATGGAACTATAATGGAAATAGCCTGGAAGGAACATCAGGATAACATTAGCAATTATTATGCAGATGTGTTTACGTGCTTAAAATGCGCTCCAGGTTGTGATGCCTGTAGCGGTCCGGAACCCTGTTTAGCCGATTACAACTGGCCGTTTAGGTAAGTTTTCAAAAATAATTCTATAATTATTTTACACACCGATGTGTTTACAATTCTAGAATATCGCTGCTAACCATATCGATAGGCTGTGCGATTGGTACGATTTTATTAGCCGGCTATCTTTTTCATCATCGCAAAGTTAAAGTATTCAAAGTAGCCAGTCCTATATTTTTATTAATCACTCTGATTGGTTGCGCGATCATGTACTTGGAGGTAAGCAAAAATTTTTCCTTCTAATTATACTACGCTGTCTAGTGTTTGATACTAATGTGTTTTGAAATGAGAAAAAGTTTTCGATAAAATATGATCACTACTTTTAAAGGCATATCGCCAGACTATCGGTACGCAATATTATAATCAAAACCATTGAAATCTGCATCGTGCCACGAAACTTTTGATAACATAAGTTACAAACCCTTATATCAATTCTCTCCCTTATGCATGGCACGGGAGAGAACCTTGGGACATTTTCAGCCGACTTTTGTATTCAATTCTAAACGGAAAAAAAGCTTTTGAGAATACAGTCGTCTTTTTGTTAGGCAGACAACCACGCTAATGCTAATTAATGCTAATAAACGCATACACATATTTTTTACGATATATTTTTTACACCGATTTCATGTATGACTGGTGAAGTCTTTGGAACCTGTATTTACATTTTGGAAAACTGTTCTCACCAGTATTTTCTAAATACTTTATGGTATCTGTGAAGAGTATAAGGTGCGTTCAAAAAGAGGACGATTTTTCAAATTTCGTGGACTAAGTCCATTCGATTTTCGTTTTTTTTTATGTCCTCAAAATATATTGACGTTGTCAGCCGTTTTGCATTTTTAGTTAGTTTTTGAAATACAGGAAAGTTGCACGTGTTTTGGTTGGCTTGGCGACTTTTTCCTATTGAAAAAATGGAACTGTGTCTGTATTCTATTTTGTCGTATCGTTGTCGCTGAAAATGTCGGCATATTGGTTGGCCCTTGCTACGAAATTTTTTCGAATATTTTGAACATGAAACGTATAGCAGCGAAGCTTTTTCCGAAATTGCTAAACACATTTCATTGCTTATTGTCAATTTTTTTGGTTAAGAACAACATCGTAACCACGCTTTAGCCATCGCAAAATTCTAGAGATGTACGAAAGCACGCAGTTTTGGCACGATGAAGAAGGTAAAATCCGCATTGCTGGAAAATGTCAAGGTTAAACCAAGAAGCTCATGTAAGAAGTACTTCGGTGATTGGAAAAAGTCCTGGCACAAGTGTGTTAAATTTAAGGGGGTTACCTTGAAGGGGACAAAACATTGATAAATGTATGCCTCGTACATCTGCTCATCTACTCATATTTGAAAAATGACTTGTCTTTAAATATGCTTTCCATATTCAACATACTTTTATTAATAATAATTTTTCAGTATTTCATCTCGTCATTGCACTAAATGGCTTAGTAGTGTACATTTGTAAGTTAACTGAAATATATTAACATTGTAGAGGTATTTTGCAAAACTTAAGCGGGATTTGTCCTTTTGTAGAAAATTTCTTGTCAATCTCTAAGCAAGTTTTTTAATTATCTTGTTACGCAGAAGGTTACTTATATCTAAACGAAACCAATTAATTGAATTCTTGTAAATTCAGATTTTCTCGTTTTGTAAAATGAAATAACTTTAATAAGAAAATCTTTGAAAAGAAACACATTTTATTAAGATTTTTCGTTTGAAATTAAAAAATGTCAGCTTAAGCCAGTGCAATATCCCAGCATCTCGGTGCTTATTAATTTCGATATATTTGACTCATATGAACCTTCGCGATTATCAGAACATTGTCTATAATGTCAAGTTAATCGCTTAATATTGCTTCTGTTATTCATTTTCTTTTTGCACATTCACTGCGCTGCTTCTTTTGTTGTCAACATGAAAATATTTCTTTCTTTCATTATTAGAGGAACAATGCAATGAAATTTTATTAGCTCTGAACAGAGGAATGATGGCTTGCGATTTTAAACTCATGTAGAAGAGTGTTATAATGAGTTTTTGTCTATATATATATATATAACACCCACAAGAACTTAGAAATTTTTTTTAATATAATGATCTAATCTTGTCTGCCTGTCTGTCCATCTAATGCCTTTCGATGTATTTGTGTCTTTCACTTTTAAGTTTCAATATCAGGCTTATTTTGACGATGCTGTGTGTTTGCCGAAGTTTTAAGCCCATTGAACATGGATTCGATCGGACCGTTTCAGCGACTACCCTTCATATATGAAAAAGTTATATGAAAAAAATTTGTAACTTTCAAACTTTCTTAATAAAAATCATTGGATAATGCCATTTTTGTATATTATACCGATATAAAAAGCCAGGATCGGATAAGCAAAAGCCGGAGGGTTGGCAGACGATTTGCTAATTGTTAACGGAGGTTAGATCTACCAGGAGGTTAAACCATAGTCGGCTCTTGGTCCCTCGCTGCCGGCAGTTGAACATACCAAAAAAGACTTCATTAGATAATTTGGTTAAATTGAGTCAGCAAAATTTGTATCTTTTAGATTAACAGCCAATATGTACTGGCAACTACATAATCTTACAAAAATTTGTAATAAAGGAAAGAACCAATTTTAAGTAATGAGCAAACGCAATTATAGATATAATGAAAGTTTCTTACATTGAAGCTGTCTGTTCTTGTGGGTTCACATACCTGCACTGTGGCGGCACTCAAGTATTCTGAGATTAGGGCAGTACGGATAGTAGCAAATTAGAATTCGGAATTATATCACGATATAATTTCGGCAAACAGAGACGAGTCGACTTGTGTTCAGTGTAGTGCGTGTTTTCTACTCGTCTGCGTTTTTTCAATTGTTTCGGTGTTTTCGGTGTTTTTGTGTATTTAACTTCTGTCTTTTCAGTGTTATTGCTAAAACTGGTTAACGCGGATATCGCGTATGTGCTTTTGTTTCGTCTATATATAATAAAAAATAGAAAACAAAAAAACAAAATAAAAAAAAAAAAATTGAAAACATTTGACACTTTTCTTTAGTAGTTCCCAACCTTCTTGCACAGTTCCCAAACCTTTTCAAGTGAGTGGTTATTTCAAAAATAATAATAAATAGATAACAATAAGGCATAATGGCCCCGGGGCCGCCAGACAAAAACCTGAATAGATTTTATCTATTAAGTGATACATCCCCCCAAAGAAAAAAAAGTAAAAAATCAGATTTTCCGGTGTTGCCGATCAGCGATATAATCCCTATTGATAAAAAATATATTGTTATTTCTTCAACCGATGCTCGAATAACAATTTCCCAAATTAGCCCTTTTGCTATAAAGCTCTAGATAGCATTACAACATACATCGACTCGATCTCGATTCTACGCGATGGGAATTTACTGGTCCTCGCTGGGAACCCGCGCGCAACCGAAAAACTAATAAAGGCCAATTCTTTAGCTAATCTATGTGCTATTTCAGCTAAACTACATGAGAAACTTAACTCGGTTCGAGGCGTAATTTATGCCCCTTGCTTAAAGCATGTTCCGGAAGATGAAATTGTTCGCGAAATGGGCATTCAAGGAGTGACTGAAGCATATAAATTAACCAAACTGAATGATGACGGAAAAACACGCTCTCCTACAGGAAGGATTATTTTAACTTTTGATCGCTATCGATTACCGCGAACAGTTGATGTGGCGTGGTATAAATGTAAAGTAGAACTATACATCTCAAATCCTATGAGGTGTAAAAATTGCCAACGCCTGGGTCATACGGCAAAAAGATGCACTAATGCTGCATCTTGTGCTAACTGTGGTCATCCTCCACATACTGAAAGCTGTACCCGTAGTTTCTGCATAAATTGCAATGATCAACACTCAGCGTTAGACAAACAATGCCCACGTTTTGTACAGATGCGTGAAATATTAAAAATCAAAACAGAAAATTACTGTAGCATGGGCGAAGCGCGACGCACATATCGGGAAAGAAATCCATCTGTAGCCCATGGAATTGGCAAAAGTAGTACCTATGCTGCTGTTGCCTCGCATATCGAGCCTAGTAAGACTTTAACTGCAACTGCTTTCAATGAAAAACCTGTTCCACCATTAACCAAAAATTATATTGCGAAACCAGTTACATCACTTGCCAAAGATAATATTGAAAAAACCAAAGCAACTGCAAATATTGAAAAAATTAAAACAACAACACATATGCTAAAATCTAATATACCAAATTCTCCAGAATCTCCAGCTCTCAACTTTACTCAACAAATCACAAGTGTTAATGAATCCATTCTTTCATCCCTCAATCAACCTTCAATTTCAAATTATTCACGTGCGCCAACCCGTTGCGCTTCAAATGTACCAAATCACCTAAATACAGATTATTCTGCTGGTAAGAATAAATCATTCACGAAAAATTCCTATAGTGACCTTCTCGACGGAGACGCTGACATGTCAACTTAACCCTCCCTCCACTCTGCTTACATGTCATTACAATTAAATAAAGTTTTTAAAATTCTACAATGGAACATTAAGGGACTTATTAATAATTTTGATGAACTCCGTACACTCATAAATGATTTTAATCCAACCTTTTTATCGCTTCAAGAAACTCATTGTAGAAGCTCTTTTAATCCTATTCCACCCAAATCATATACTGGATACTTCACGAATGCTGATCAAAATTTATATTCCAAACAAGGAGTTGGTGTTTTTATAAAATCAAGTATACCTCACAAACGCATAAATTTAAGCTCAAATATACAAGCCGTAGCGATACAAATAATGTTAAAAATAAAATTTACAGTGCTTTCGCTCTATATTCCACCTTCGCAATCGTTTTCTCAGCAAGAACTCTACAGTTTATTCTCCGTACTTTCCCCCCCATTAATTATATGCGGCGATTTCAACAGCTGGAATACCATCTGGGGCTCAACAGTGAACAACACTCGCGGTACTGTTTTAGAAAAGGCCTTTTTTCAAAGCAACCTTTGCGTTTTAAATGATGGAAAACCAACGCACTTCTCAACTCATCATACTTTTTCACATATTGATTTAACATGTTGCTCTCCATCACTTCTTCCTTTGGTGTCCTGGTCTATTTCTGATGATCTATATAATAGTGATCACTTTCCAATCATAATCGATCTTAAACTTTCAACGTCCTCTGCTACTCCAGCAAAACAGGCCAAATTCCTCCTAGATAAAGCGGATTGGACCAATTACTCCAAACAGGTGGCGTCATT